GCCATGCCCCTCGATCAACTCCAGTCCATTCAATTCCTTGTTCGCGCCTTCTCCATTGTTAGGTATTTCTCGGCGTTAAATATTGAATATTTATTTTCTGAGTAGTCTCGTGTTCACAGCTTTGTGGATTGTGTGGCTATTGTCCAATGCCACTACAAATAGATTATTTGCGTAATAGAGGAAAAAGCTTCCCCTTGATCGAGAAATAACATCATCTCCCTGGATGGATCCAGGCAATCAATTCACCAATGAGCGTCTAAAGCAGGAAAACTGAAGATTTCAGCCACCAAAGTTTGGAGTCAAATAAAAAATACATTTACCTTCCCCGTAAAAGCCACGTAACTTAGGTGAAACATTAAAAGCCGAAGTTGCAGTGCAAATAGATAGCAGTCGTTTTGTATGTAGGCGGGATCAGTGGTTTATGCAACTGAAGGTATCAGAAAACAAATTTTCCTTTGAGGGTGAGACAAAAACTTATTGTTATATACAATGTACATATGAAGGAGTTTTCCTAAACAAACACACATATTTAAAAGACCGTAGACTTGATAAAATTTTGAGTTTATGAATTAACGTAACATTTGTAGTGATAAATAAATCCCCAAAACCAATGGCTCTGTAAGTCTTCAACATTTGACGCTGACCACACTATTCTTAATGGACTCACCTGGCCGAGGGCGCTCGGTCATGCTTACGCACCAGATTACGATTGGGAACTCCGTGCTCAACATTTCCTACAACCACTAGCCGGCTCAGATTAGTTGCTTTCTGATATATTGATAGCCTGTCAAATATATCTTCGAACCTCTACTTCTGACTCCTGATTTAAGTGGATCGGCATGTTTTGATAATAACAGGTGTTACTGGTTAAGAATGTCACGCTCCGAAGACTTGTGGCAACTTGACATTTTTATACTTTGATCTATTTTGCCTCTCCGTCAACATATTTCGCCACAGGGCCTTCTCGAGTTGGATGTGGGTGGTGTGACCCCCAGCCTATGTCGAAGTAACACATTGTGATTCATACCTGACATAGAGTAACCAGGTACTACAGCTACTTTGATAACTGAGTAGAAAAACGATCTGACCAAAAAAAAAGTTAAGGCTAGAAAAGTATATATTACAGCCACCGCTGCATGTAACAGTTCATGGATAGGAATCAAAGACATTTCATTGGCCCTATGACCCATTTCAAGTCTGTTCGATAAAGTTTTGACGTCTGATGACGGAATTTAGTCCAAGAAGGGCAGTGATTTTCGTACTTGTTGCACCAAAAAGCATTCTTGGTATACTTTAACTAAAAGTACTTTGGTTAAGGTTTGAAACTTTTGCTAAGCTTTGTCCTTTGGTACTTTTTTTACTCATTGACTGACACTCGTGTTCACATTGTGATCATATTGTGTTTTAAACCTTTTTAATCAAATTACAACGGTTATTAAGACTCATAAATGTGGACAGCCAAACTGCTTGTTCCCCGTTGAGGAAGGAATGCAGTGCGGTGAGTGTAAAACTGGTACCATAAGATATGTACACGTCTAAGTCCTACGGCATACAAAAAATGCTCGAAGCCTAACTCGCGTTGGCTTTGTATGTTTTGCTGTACAAACAAAAAGTCACTAATTCAGAAGGCTATGAGCCTATTGGTTTTGGCCTGTAAGAAAAACGATGGCGGTTAAGCTGATAACACGAGAGCTGACGGTAAAGTATGTATCAGTGTAGTACAAGCCGCCTCTTGAAGGTTACATTTACCACGGTTGAAGAAAGGAACCTGATTTTAAGTAATTCATGTAAACTGATTGGATCCGGAATATATGTCTGTGAGGATCTCAGGCTAGCTGATCGTATTAAGAGACGAGCTGCAGAAGCGGAAATAAATGAACGTCGCCAAAACGGGGAACGAAACCTTGTTCTTAAAGGTTTTCAAGTTGTAAAAATTCGGAGCAAAACGATCCCCAAGCCACTCTGGGTGGCAATGGAAAGCTCTCCACAGACTTAAAGGTATGCTACACAAATGCTCGCAGCCTTCCAAATAAAATGGCCGAGCTCAAGTCAGTGGTTGATAAAGAAAAACCGGACGTTATTGCTGTCTCGGAAACTTGGTTAACGTCAGAAGTATTAGATAGTGAAATCCAGTTGACTGGTTTCATAACCAGTAGGGCTGATAGATTAAACCAAAGGGGAGGGGGGTTATTCTGTACACGAAAAGTACCCTGACCATAAGATTAGCTGAGACAGTAGCACATGTTTCAGGGACATGTGAACTGGTGACATGTAGGCTGAAATGTAGACGGCAAGATACTGAATTAGTTGCAGTATATCGCAGTGCAGAATGTGTAGCAGATGATTTTATCCTAAGTAAACTTAAGTTCTGGTGTAACAAGGGTAAAAGCCTTGCACCGCATATAAATTGGGTTAACTGAGAAGTAGGGTCATCGGTAACGTCTTTCGAATGCAAGCTGTTAGAAACATCGATTAGATTAGCTTCATTCCAACACATTAGAGATCCAACAAGATATGACTTAAGAAACTCTTCTTCTCTTTTAAATTTAGTCTTCTCACACGGTGATGACGTTGGTCAAATGGCTTTTCTCCCACCACTTGGGAGAAGTGACCATGTAGTCATCTTATTCAAATTCATGGATGAGATTGCTTGTCAAACAGTTGCGCTGGCCCGTCCTAACATATGAAAGGCAAATATGCAGGCAATTAACTCCGCAGCATCGGCTGAAAACTGGGAAATCGACTCAAATGCATCAGTACAAGAGGCATGGACTCTATTCAGGCAGTTATACAATCGGGTAACTCAACCGTACATACCCTGGACTGTCCCAAAGAAAAAGAAGCACGGACATCCCTGGATAGGGCGGGATATTCGACGTTTACTAAGACAAAAGAAGAGATGCTGGGATGTTGCCATTCACTTTGTCATGGCAGGTACGATGGAACGCTACAGATCGATAAGAAACGAGTGTATAACGAAAATTCGGGAAGCGCAAAGAAAATATAAAATGCAGCTGGCACAATCTGCACTCAAGCAGCCCAAGAGGATATTCTCGTACATAAACTACAGAACAAGGATTCATCATTGGATTCCCAACTTAATTAAGGTAGGAAGTGAATCCAAAATGATAGAGGAAGATCAGGAAAAAGCAGAGGCTATGGCTGACTATTTTGGGGCAGTTTTCACTCAGGAACCCCCTCTAGAGAGAGAACCAGACCCAAATACAGAGTCAACAAACCACCTGCTCACCGTGGACTTTGACCAAAACGATGTGCTTAAAGCTCTTAACACCCTAAACATGGAGAAGTCAACAGGACCAGATGAGCTACACCCCAAAATCTTGAGACATATTGCCCAATATATCGCGACCCCACTGACTGTGATATTCAAAATGTCACTTGACCAAGGTGTGTTACCTATGGACTGGAAGGACGCGATCGTTACTCCCATACATAAAACAGGTCCACGACAAGTTCCATCGCATTACAGACCCGTAAGCCTCACCAGTGTTGTAGTTAAAATACTGGAAAGAATAATCAAACGGACCATAACGGCATTTATGTAAACCAATAACTTGTTGAACATGGCACACCATGGTTTTAGAAAGGGTCTACCCTGTACAACAAACCTCCTTGTAGCAAGGGAGTTCTGGATTAATGCGCTAGACAACGGAAGCTCAGTGGATGTTGTCTACATAGATTTCAGTAAGGCTTTTGACAAGGTGCGGACTAATAGACTGCTATTGAAGTTGGAAAACCTTGGCATTGCCGGACCTCTTTTAAAATGGATTAAAGATTTCCTAGTAGGTCTTAGACAAAAAGTAAGAATAAATTCCAAGTGCTCCATCTGGAGACCAGTACTTAGTGGAGCACCACAAGGTTCCTTCTTAGGTCCTTTGCTCTTTATAATGTATGTTAATTATCTCGCAAATACAGTGCAGTTCCCAATGTTATTATACGCTGACGATGTAAAAATCTGGCGAGTAATAACTGGAGACAGACGCATGTGCTCTTCAGGCAGACTTAAATAATATGATTAATTGGTCTAAAGAGTGGCTGATGTCTATCAACGCGACAAAGTGTGTCTACATGCACTTTGGGGATTCAAAGGTTAATACGTACAACATAGGGGAAGTGCCATTACCGGTAGTCCGGTCTCATAAGGATCTAGAGATGACAGTGAGTCGTGATCTTAAGACGACGGCTCATTGCTGGGAGGTCGCTGCTTGGGGGTTTCGAACTCTCTGGGCTTTAAGACGGACATTCACTAAGTTAGATACTAAAATGTTCACCACAGTATACACATCCGTAGTGAGAAGTAAGCTTGAGAACTGCATTCAGGCTGCATGCCCATGTTTAAAAGGTGACGCGGATATCCTAGAAGAAGTACAGAGGGTAGCTACCCGTGCAATTTCAGAACTCTGGGGTTTACCATGCAAAGAGCGGCTTGAAAAGCTGGACCTCTTTACTCTGTCCTATCGCAGGTTGAGGGGAGATCTGATTTCGATGTACAGAATACTGAGAAATTATTTTGGACCTAACGTTTTCTCTCTTTTTCTTTCCACTAGATCGAGACATCTCAGAGGACATAGCAGGCGAGTAGAAAAGCCAAGAACGAACAAAATACCCGTGGCATACAGGATTTCATACCGAGTTATCAATACTTGGAACCTGCTGCTCGAAACAGTGGTGTCCACACCTTCAATTAAATCTCTCAAGAGGAGACTGGACACTCACAGAAGCATACTAGAAAAGGAATAACATAGGCCGTAGGCCTTCTGTCCTTACTACACAAATCTGAAAGACCACCTAATATAAGTAAGATAAACCCTGTCATACAGAATGGACCTGATATCTCAAAGCTACAGCTATACTCCAATTTAATGATTTAAAGTAAAACACAAAAGCTGTCTTGCTGTAGTCCTATTGAACATCATGGCCTGATCTATTTGTTTAGCTGCATCAGTGACATTTACTAGAATTCTGGAAGCGTCAGCGAAATGTCTGATAATGCTGATCATGGTTCTGATGCCCAGCAACGGGTCGAAGATGAATATCTAAAGGATTTTATGGATTTAAGCCCATGTGGTGATCGTGGTATCCTCAAAAAAGTATTGCGAGAAGGCTATTCTGACGTCAAGCCATGTGATGGCGACACTGTGGTTGTACATTATGTCGGGACTAACTATGGTGGGGAAAAACACGGTGAAGTCTTTGACTCAAGTAGGGCACGGAATGAGAAGTTTGAATTTACTATTGGAAATGGTAAGTGTATACCCATCCTGATTACTCTTTCAGGTAGTGTAATTAAGGCTTGGGATGTCGGTGTCGCTACAATGAAGTTGGGAGAAATTTGTGAACTAATCGCGTCTCCTGATTATGCCTACAAAGATGGTAAAACTCTAAAGTTCGAAGTGGAGCTTTTCGAAACCTTGGGTAATGTTTAATATATCACATAATGAACAGATCAGGCGCTGATGTCAGCAGAAACAAGGATGGGAGTATTCGTAAATCAACTATTAGGAAAGGGAAGGATATCTATAATCCTGTTGCTGGTGCTGAGGCCACAATTGTCTTCCGTAATTTGACGGATTCAGCAGAGAATGTGGAGGTGACATATTGCGTCGGTGATCCCCCGTTAACTGTGCCAGAAGAGTTGGATCTGTGTGTTCGTCATATGAATACAGATGAATTTAGTCGTGTTGTGGTATACAAAGATAGAATTCAGCAACTGAGGGTGCAGACGGACATCGGGTAGTTTATGAATTAACGCTGAAGTCTTTTGAAAAGGTAATCAAAGACCCATTTCTCGTTATTATTAGACTAAACATCTATCTGGTATCTCATCATTCTCAGAGCAGATGGCGTATGCAAATGTACTGAAAGAAAAAGCCAACAACTTTCTAAAGGTTTGTCGCCGTTTAGTCATTATGTCAGGACTCTAAATTTGATTCTGCTGTTGAATTGTACAAACGTTTAGATGACGAGTTGCAGTACATAGTGGCTAATGGCCCTACAGAGCAGAAGGAATTATCCGCGGTTATTGTAGCCGTCCGACTTAATTTAGCTTTGAGTTACCTGAAGCAATGTAAACCAGATAAATGTATTGAGTTCTGCAAGAAAGTATTGGACGTTTTTGGTAACAACGAGAAAGCGTTATTCAGGATAGGTCAGGTAAATTAAATACACAAAATTATATTTCCAGGCGCATCTGCTGCGTAAAGACCACGAGGAGGCGTCAGTTTACTTCAAGAAAATTGTAGAAAGCAATCCCAACAATGCGTCTGCTGTAAAGCAGTTGCATATGTGCGAGGAAGAGATTAGAAAGGCCCAAGATATGGCAAAGAAAAGGTTCCGGAGCATTTTCGAGCGCTGTAAAGACGTAAGTCGAAATTGATTGTAATTGCTCTTGTAGTCTGGATTGGATGGTGTTGAAGAACACAAAGACGGAGTCACGTTGAATGGCGAAAAGTCTGCATTGTAAAAGTTTGCTCCTTAATGTAATCTAAATGAGCAATCCGTGATTTTGTAAATGTTCCCCATAATTGTTACCAGTTTCAAAGTTGTGAATAAATCATTGAACCTAGATTTGTATTCTCTAATGATTAATAACAGCACGTAGTTACCTTAGAGCTCATACCCTATAGAAATTCTAATTGTTGCTAGTCTGCTTAGCATTCTTGACTTCATGGTCAGATAATTACCCAGTAATCGGTTGTTTATGTATTGGCTCGCTTTTTGTTTTGAATGCCTCTGGCTGTGCTTCTAGCTATCTTAATGTACGGTGAACGGATGTAACCGCAAATAATAACGCCCAACTCCAGCTAGGAGTACAACATACTGTGTCGGGGGAGGGTTTTTTAGACTATCTTAGCTCCAGGTAGCAACTATAGCAGTGTAAATCACTTTTTAGCGGCGTAAAGTACCCTCCCTCCAGTACTGACTGAGTCATTGATATACTCCAGTGCCGTCCCTGTTATCCCCTGGTCAACAGGCGAGAGGGATTGTTGGGGCCGTCATAAGCTTATCCGTATGACATTTGTTGCATGGATCACTTGGTGCTGCGTGGTAGCGTAATGAATCCAACCAAAACTGCGTATCGAAAAGTGGGAGTGGATGTCTGAAGTATGAACAACTTCGACCGGTTTCGGGGGAGGAAGTTGGTGCGTTCATCTGGGTCATTGAGGTAGGCTTCCTATTATATTTTAGTGGGTCTTTATCTGATCCCAGTTAAGTCGTACGCTGGTTGCTGTCAAAACATGTATGCTACCAGCTTTCGTGTATTGTTATTGACTTAATTCGCGTTGGTGATCAACGGAATGAAGTAATCCAAGTTTGAGGATGTATTTTGGATTTGCATACTTTGTACACATTGATGCAAACAGACATCGGAAAGAAAGGGAGCGAATGAAAGGGGTACACAACAGAGGCGAGCGAGCCAACTGGTCTCGGCCGAGTGTGTGTGTCGAGAGGTCATATGGAGACATTCAGGGTCAACGAGCGGACAATCAACAAGGTCAAAGTGTAGCTTCAAAAATGGTGGAGATCTGTAGCTTGGGTGGGTGATCTTGATGGAGTTTTGTTCTCAGAGGGGTGGATAAGTTGGTCGGTCCAAAAGGTAGGGCAACCCGTGGGGGCTGGACGTAGTACCAGCCACTACAATGACATGTGGGCAGCCGCTCTACTACCGTGTCGTCCATCCAAGTAGGCATTTAGTACCTACCAGATTGGCTCGTATAAACCGTTGATTAACTCGCGGGTCTATTTGATGTATTGGTTGCGGAGGGATGGTCCCTGTCTTCCTCCAAAACATTTCGACCACCATTTCGTAAGGTAAGCGGCATACTCGCTTTATAGTTGGGACCGGTGAGATGATTTTGATAATAATCTGCAAACCACCAAGTGTATTATTATTTATTTATTTGGACACATGAATATTGGTACAAGAGAGCGCCAATATATATGCGCCACACAAAACAACCAAGTGTAATGAAGACAGGTGGAACAGTCAACGTGCCCGACTTCATTCACTATGGCCAGAATAGGCACATGCTGACCATTTCCGAAGTGGCATTTCGTATTTAGGAAAAGTGATCCCTACCATCCTCAGTCTGTTGCTCAAAGCGTAAAGAATACTACACTTTAGCGCTACAAATACCTGGATGGGGTCGCTAAGTTCATGTTTGTTGCTCATGGGTAATGTTTATTAGTGGAGGTTGGTCAGGACTCAGAAACTGGGGTTTATATATTTTAGGTTTCAGAGTATTAGGTTGTAATTATTTCTGGACACGTATTTGATAATTGTTAATTTTGCATGATTTTTATCTTATGTTTTGTGCTTTATCCTATCAGACATCTAAGCACGAAATCTTTTCACGCTCTTTTAGTGTCGTTTGTTCAAGTAACTAACAATAAATATATCAAAGAAGTAAATCTAATCTCATGAATAATTGTTATTTCCCCATAGTGTTTGTTTCATACGGTCTTAGTTTAACAATCAAAGCACTGGTTATAATTAATACTTCGTGCGATAACTTATAGATTGGCACATTTTCAAAGCTCTTATTCATTGTGTATAATTTAGGTAATATTAACTAGCTATATGCATTTCGCAGCGATTGGAAACCCATGAGTTTTCATTGTGTTCATTACTTATCTAATTAAAACATCCCCTAGATATTTTTTTTCATTAATGCCTATCGAAGGATCACAAGGCAAAGTAGGCTAGAAAGTCAAATTAACCCTTTTTAGGGAACTCTAGATAGGGATAGGGTAGGCCTAATTTTTGCCTCTAAATGGTATGTCTAAGGGTGGGGTGGGGTCTGTCCTTAAGAAAACCACCTACTTCGGTTTGGGCACCCTGTAGTATCCCGACTTACACAAATTTAGTTAATTAATTAATTAACTAATTTGCTTGGCACATACCTGTTTTGGTGCTTTTCTGTACCAATATATATTTAAATAAATAACAGGCCCAATTTTAACTTGAAAATCCATGCCAAATGTAGATAAGATATTTGCATATGTTAAGAGTCTAGATTTTTTAAACTGAAGTTGCTTCAAATCTTATACGATAATAATAAGCTTCCTCTGAAGTGAGAAAAGTATCAGCTTACAAACCGTTGGTCACTTATACCATTAAAGCCCCAGTCACATGTATTGATAACATGCAGTTAAATGTTGAAAAAGAGTTAGGAAATATTGACTCTAAAAATACTAAACCTTGCCTTATGTCATGGATTTCTGTCACCGTTAGTAAGGCCTTTGAAGTACGGAGATAACATCAAGAACTACTCGCAAAAGTACCATATGTGACTTGTTCCAGACAGTTGCCTCTTGGTTCCTCTTTAACGTCTTTTGAAAAGGAGCATAGTTATACGATGTGAGCAACTAGTAAGTATCAATCACTTGCACACTTGATGGGATCACTTTGTTCACGAGTATATCTTTTCTCCACCTCCTGATACTTTTTCTATCTCTACTATTAACCGTGCGCTATACTATTTTTTTACGGAAATGATGCCCCAATCCTCCTACCAAGAGAATATTGGTTCCTGACCGCTGTGTCCTATACAATGCCTATGATTCCGGAACGCTCATGGAGTTGTAGCTATACCATTTCTTTAGCGTACTTACGTTACTTTTGCGCTACTTAATAAAGACGACTCTGATGATTATTGTATTGTATGCTCCGATAGCAGCGCTGTACTGTAAGGTGCTATCATCTGTGATTAATTATTCCTCCTGCTTTACATTAATAAAATCTTCGCGATAGATGTTCAATTAAGGCTTTTGATGAATCAAATCTCAAATAATGTGCCGTTATTTTGTTTTAAATTACTTCACCCCTTATTTTAACATTCTGATCATGACTGTAAGTTAATGTGCATTCAGTAATTATTTTTAAGATGTTTATCATATGAATATTATTATCATTACTTAATTGTCGAATAACTGTCGGTATATGTCAGAATAATTTTATCTTAATTTGATTCTTTTGTTTACTAACTATACACTTATTTGTATTAAGTAGTTATTTCATAAACAGCGAACCTATTCCCAATACATTATGAACTTTGACATTCGGCAGAAAATTTCTCGAACATTTCTACCATTATCGTACTTGTTTACAAATGCACAGCTAGGAAAGTGAATTCATCTAAATGACTTTCAGTGCATTATATATATAATTTTCTGAATGACGAACAATGAAGTTTATTAGATGATAGAAAGGCAAGAGATGCAAGCAAATGTCATCAGAAATTGTTTTGAAATGCTTTTGGGGTTTTTGTGTTTACTCTACTGGATGGTTTGACTGCGCGACTTTCGTTTCTGTCTCAATCTTCGACAGAGCCTACTTCAAAAATAAGAATATACCGCGCCATTGAGCGATCAATTAAAATTCAGCTAGCCGATATGGGAATATAAAACGCTGTTGCGGATAGCTTGTTACTAAAACTCATGGTTTTCATTATATTTCGTAATTCGCAGCGACTAGATGGTGGTTTTGTTATGACTTTATGTCTGGCTTCTTATCACGTGATTTATCCACCAACCAAAATACGACCTATACAATCTTAGCACTGTACCAAACCAATGACGTTCGAACGGTATGAGCAGCCTAGCGTCCTTATTGGTCCTATATCCGCATAGCCTGTCCACTTGAGTCCAGAACACCAATACCAGCTCCCACTATGCGAATCGAATCATTTATTTCAGACATACTGGGTTTATATATCAATCAAACAGACCGCAACGCACCATAAAGTATTTAACACCAAACTGTTCATAGATGTTGTTAAGGCTTCCAACCTGCGGTAAATTTATCATTTTTCTATAATGTAGAGCTCTTATACAAAAAGTTCATCCTGATTGGTTAACCTCAGGGCTATCCCTAAAGTTGCTTAAGGTCGTCGGTATAGTATGATAACCCTTCTCAATGTTTAATCTTTTTATATTTTCTACAGTTTATATAAAGTCAATATTGATTGATTTCAACTTGTGATTTCCTCTAGGTAATAGTGAAGAGACTGATAGATCCTAGGTTCGAATCCTGAGGGGCGGGGTCGTGGATGCTCACTTCTGAGGATTCACAATAGGACGAAACGGCCGTTCAGTGCTTTCAGGTTTTCCATGGTAGTCTAGCTTCAATGACTCAACTGTTGAAATTACTACAATCTCCAAAAACCCTTTCTAATGCTGAAGATATTGACTAAACATCTAAGACACAACACAAAATTATTAAGGATTTTTATTACAATTCAAATGACAAAATTAACTTACCCATAATATGTAAAGTGATTCTTGGGCACAAACAAAAATAATTTCATCTTTTGGTTTCACTCGAAGAAGTGGTACAGGTTTTGTTTGAAATCTAAATAATATAAAATATGCATACTAATAATTGAAGGAAAATTATACACAACATTTGTAAAATATGAAAACAACACAATGAATACACCATTTGTACATCTTCCTTGAATC